CTGTTTGTTGTAAACAAATTCTGTAGACGCTCTGTTATCGCCCATGTTAGGCTACTACTTGAGGCCGGAGGCCATTTTATGTTGGATTGTTGTATGTTAAAAGTATGCTGGCAGTTGGAATATATTATGATGTAAATTATGCAGGTTGAATATTGTTGGGTTTGAGCACTTTACAGGGGAGACTCTGCCAAAATTTTGGTAGGATGTCTTGGATTTTTAGTAAGTGGGCCCGGCATCAGTGTGATGTCGGCACCAAGACGGGATCCGCCTCGGGTTCAGGGGAAATTCTGGGGCGGGTCCTGTCAAATAAATTAGGGCAATGATTTCCCCACTCCTATTTTATCCACTTACACTCATTTTTTAGTTATAAAAAAAGAGTGTAAGTGGATAAAATAGGAGAAAAAGGAGTGGGGAAATCACCACTCATAAATTAAAGAGATGCATCAAATTACACAATTTGAGTTGAGTCTACTACATTACATAGCCTATAAGTTATATTTTCCACCAGAGGACTTGTGCTATAGCTAGGCAATTTTTCAGAAATACACCAGTGCTTCGCCTAGCCAGCCGTTTCTCCTTTTATATTTTACGAAACTGAATTAAGTCTGAAAATGGGAGAGCCCTTCTTTCAAGTGGATTGATTGGTTTTACTTCGCTCGATATAACCAAACACGTGTTGAGAAAATTAGAGTACACAACTCTAATATAGATTTATTAAAGACAAAATAAGTAAACAATAATTGACTTGGATTAGACTCAGACAAAATTACGACAAGACAACTCTCAAATAAAAGACCAACTCATACAAGCACTCTTTCTCACTTCTAGAGACAAACTCACACTTCTTATTGACACTCTTTTCACTTCTTGATTGGTTAATTGTACAATGCTTATCTCACCGCCTTGGCTATAGTCACACAATTGTTTATCTTCCAGACAAATCTCCAAGCTTAGCCGCTGACGTACTTTTCCACTTCACCAACTTGGGCTTTTATGTTCTCCTAGACTAATCTACATATATCCTTTATTCTAGATATTTCTAGTGGTAACTCATATTATCACTTTGTTGTTTACACTTCTGGTGCTTCTAGAATATTGTAGAGATTGCTCCTCAAAATGGGGTGAGCTAGGTTGTTTATCTTGGGTTTGGTTAAGTACCGATGGGCTGGGGTTGATATATGTTAACAACAGGTATGTGTGGTGAAACAAAGTATGATAGCAAAGTATGATGGGCTGGGGTTGAAAATTATGCACACAATTGTCTTTGTCACTCTTCTTATTTCGAATTAGAACCACACATATAAAAGTAGACTTTTGGAGATTTTTAGTCCGAGATTCCTCTTGCAGATGCTTTGGACAATACACATGAATTAAATTGCAAAACAAAGCACAAAGAAAATAGAGATGCATTAAGTTGCAGTTATTTTCCATGAGGGCTTTGTACTAGGCAATTTTTTAGAAATACACCAGAGCTTTGCCTAGCCTAGCTGAGAACCAGTTTCGCAATGAACTCATCAATGTTTTTATCAGAACTTCCACCTTCATCCACTGCATTCTTGGCCAATGCTTTCCACTTTGAAGCGTTC